TAGGTTTTTGAGTGGTTGCCTTACCCTTCTGAGGACCCGACTTAGACTTTTGTGCACGCACAGTTTGTAAGCGTGTCCGAGGCCTGCTGGCGGCCTGCTGATCCGTGGTAGCTGCACTTGTGGAGGGACCCGCCTGACCCTGCTGACTGGGGGGGGTGTCCGGTATACACTCCTGTGACACTTCCACTATGTTCGGAGAGGGAATGATAGGTGTCCTGCATTGCGCGTAAAAGGATTGAAGCGCGGAAAATAGTTGTGCCAGAGCCTGAGGGTTGCAAGGACCTGTTGGCACCAGGGCGTTACCAGGCTGAGGTGCTTGAGGATTGCCGTTGCCTTCCATGTTAAAGCAGAATCGGCGTGGGGGCGCTGGTCAGCTTATGCGTATTACCGACTACCAATCGGTTTTAAGAAGGGACCACAAGTTGACCGTTGCTAAGCTTATTACTTGTCAGGGTCCTGCTTTAATTTGTTTTATTATAATTGTTAATTTATTTATTCATTCAAAATTAAATTTTATTATTATTATTATTATTATTTTATTTTATTTTATTTATTTTATTTTTTAATTATTATTATTATCATTATTATTATTATTATTATTTAATTAAAGATAAAGTATTATCACTCAAGATAAATATATATATTTTATTTTATTCTTTGGTTAGTTTCTTTCCTCTATATCCCTGACTACTTGTTTAATTATCAGCAAATAAATCCAACTGCAGCAAAATCCCCAATTACTTGGGGAAGCAAGCTAGCAAGAGTAGAGGCTGGCTAGGACAATAAAGGAACAACAACTCAAGAGTCACTGATGTATAAGGACTAAGGAGAAAGAATGCTTAATTAAAATGAGCAGCAGCAAAACAATGAAGTAAAGAGAGCAGTAGCCAAACAATAGAAGCCACCCACCTATTAATAATACTGTAATAGTAACTTCAGGAAAACGTGAGCTTAAACTTCCATTAAAGAAACCAGTTTTTATATGCAGCTGTCCCTTATGGGAATCGAACCTGCAACCCTGGCGTTATCGGCAGCACCGACTCTAACCAACTGAGCTATACAGGCTGGATGCAATAATACAGCTCCCAAAGGCTGCCAAGCTTCACCTTACTATGCAACAGCATATAGTAGCTCAGCCTCTGGAGACAATGCCCCTAATTATCGCTCGTTAGCTGTGAATTGACCTGCCGGCCAGCACACAAAGACGTTTCTATGGCAACACAAAGAGCCAGCCAGCAACAAAAGCCTCCTTAATGGGGCAACAGCAATAGCGTTTCTATGGCAACCACAGAATGAATCACCCAGCAAGGAGAGGGAGGTGGAGGGAGGGAGCTCGGAGCACAGGGAAGGATTAAAACTAACTGCGTGAAACACCCAAGCAGACACGGAAGTAAAATATTCACTTTAAAACCAAGCTGGGGGGGGGTTTACAGGGAATGGGAGCAAATAAAATGTCCACAAACAGAAGGAGAAGCGGCGACTGTTCAAAATCAGCTGTTTAAAGAGCAGTCAAACCACGTGGAGAGAGGGGGAGAAACAAAAGGGCAGAACGGAGACTGTTTAAAATCAGCTGTTAAAAGAGCATTCAAACGCGGGGAGAGAGGGGAGAAACAAAGGGGCAGAACGGAGACTGTTTAAAATCAGCTGTTTAAAGAGCATTCAAACCACGGGGAGAGAGGGGGAGAAGCAAAGGAGGAGGGATGAGGAAATTCTGAAGAACCTCTGCTGACCACGGGAACAATAAACACACACACAAACAGCAACGCACCAGCGGAACTAACGATGAATGGCTATGCAGTCACCCCCAGGCACCCCAATCAAGTAAAATTCAGCCAAAGTACCCAATTATGAAGAGTGCAGCGCAATAAAGGCAAATTAAGCAGCGCTCACTCCTGGAGGAGAAAGGAATAAAGAAAGGTAAACTTCCCTGCCGGCAAGCCTCTTCCGAGATAGATCCACGTGGTCCAGCAGCTGAGGGAAACAGCAAACCGTGTCGGCTGAAAGGAAGAAAAGGGGCGAGCCATGGGCTGCCCCGACCTTAAGTGGCCTCTGGAAGGCCCGCCCCTGCCGCCAGCCGATTGGCTGGCGCTGCAGGGGGATGTAAACTAAGGGGAATCCCTGCTTCTCGTGAGGCTGGCGCCAGCCTCGCGGGAGTGAGTGTGGGCGGGGTCGTGAGCCCGCAACCCCCCTCCTCCTGAAGTTCGGTAGTGGCATTATCTTTTCAAAAAACCAAACAACCCAAAGCTTAACCCAATGTTTTCTTCCCAATCTATTCAGATGCCTCCTGCTGCTTTCAAACACCACTTTTCCCCTTTCATTGTCTCTCCATACTCATTGTCTCAAAATATAACAACAGAATACTTATGAGTAAAATAGATCTTTATTCAGGCAAGTAGCAGTATAGGCTCAACAGTACAGTGGTACCTTGGTTCCTGAATGGCTTGGCTCCAGAACAAATTGGCTCCTGAACGCCGCAAACCCGGAAGTAAGTGTTCCTATTTGTGAATGTTTTTTGGAAGCTGAACATCCGATGTAGCTTCTGCAGCTTCTGATTGAGTGCTGGAAGCTCCTGGAGCCAATCAGAAGCCGCACCTTGGTTTTCGAACGGTTTTGGGAGTCTAACAGACTTCTGGAACACATTAAGTTTGAGAACCAAGGTACCACTGTACAGGTTCAGCAGCAGATAAAGGAGTAGGAGACAAGAGTTCAGGAGCCAAACAAGGAATTCAGAAATTGAGAGAAATAACAGAGATGTCCTAACAAGCTTTTGAAGATGAAAACATAGTAGGCATCCTACTCTCACCTACGGAGGCGAAGCCTGATTCTCAGTGAAAAGACAGCACCATTCCCTTATGTTTCCTCTATAGCCTCTGTCATCAGCCAACCCTAGCAGCTGATTGATGCCCTCCCCTCCCTTCACCCTTGTTTTTTGGGGTTTCTAAAAATTTTAGAGATTTTCAGCAGACTCCTAACAGTGGACTCCTAAGGCCTACTCAGTACTAGTGCCCTCACTATGGAACATCCCTTCAGATGTCAAGGAGATCGTTAACTACATAACTTTTTTTTGCTGCCACATACACCCGGACAACACCATTACTGGCCCCACAACATCACACATACCATCTCGGGACTATTTAATTGCTCATCGTCTAACATTGTGTATGCCATCAAATGCCAACAGTGTCCTTCAGCTCTCTATATTGGACAAACAGACCAAACCTTACGCCAAAGAATAAACGGACAGAAATCTGACATCAAGAATCACAAGACAGAGAAACCAGTAGGAGAAGATCTCAAAGTAGCTGTTTTACAAGATCTCAAAGTAGCTGTTTTACTACAAAGGAATTTCAGAAATAGACTGGAAAGAGAAGCTGCTGAATTGCAACTCATTACCAAACTTAAAACCATGGAGAGACCTGGTCTGAACAAAGACATTGGATTCCTATCTCATTATACATGACAAAGCCATTTTTCACCTTCTCACCCCTTGCTTTTTCCCATAAGACCTATTGCAGTCGCTAAGAGTCTTCAACAGGCTCATCACAGCTATCTGCCAATCACCCATTCCCACCACCCTTCTGAGTAATACCCCTCCCCACCTTCTCACTATATAGAAGGATCTGGCAACTTCTGTTTCAGTGTATCTGAAGAAGTGTGCATGCACACGAAAGCTCATACCAAGAACTAACTTAGTTGGTCTTTAAGGTGCTACTGGAAGGAATTTTTTTTGTTTTAACTTTTAGAAGACATCTGAAGGCAGCCCTGTATTGGGATTTTGTTATGTTTGATATTTTACTATGTTTTATATATGCTGTAAGTCACCCAGAGTGGCTGGGGAAACCCAAGCAGATGGGTGGGGTATTAATAATAACAGTAATAGTAATAATTATAATTATAATTATAATATCTTCTCAGAAGTAAGTACAATTGGATTCAGTGTGGTTCACTCTTAGGTAAGTGGGGTTGCAACTGAAGCCTCAACTTGCAATCCTGTATTTCAATGTTTGTCGACACTGGTTATAAATCTGCTCTAATAGGATAATACTGTTAAACATAAGAAATGAATTAACTAAATTAATGGTAGTGTACTCAGAGTAAACCCACAGAAATGAATTAATATGTTAGTCTTGTCTATTAACTAAAGGGGTCCACTCTGATTAGAACTAGTATTGAATACCACCCTATCTGCTTCAGTTTTCCCCAAAAGCAGTCCCTATTCCTGAAATTAAAGGGGCCTGCCTTCACAGGCACTTTTCTCATAAGGTAGATGACCAAGGAAGATGTAACCATTTATTGTCATCTCCTGCATCTTCTTCATCTCTACAGTATGGTTTTAGGCTGATATAAAATGAGATCCAACAATATCATAGATGTGGGTGGAGATCGTATCTTAACATTGATTATCTCCCCTCCGCAGTACCAAATAATCCCCATTGCTTCCAATCATACATTCCATTTAATGAGACATAAATTGTCAATTAAGCAGATAGGAAGTATGGCACTGAAAATAAAATGAAAAACATTTTGCTGCTCACAGTTTTTATTCTGAACAGCTAATTATTCTCAGATAAGCGCATAGGAGGTTATAAGGCTCAGCAAAAGCATTATATAGTCCACTTCTGGGCTATGTCTTGCTGACTTGCTGCTCATTGCTGGAAGCAACTGGAATCACTGCAAAATAATTCTCTTGATGGTTCAATAAAATTAGGGTTGCAATGTGTCCAGGAAAACGTGGACATGTCCAACATGCCCTTCCAGGTGGATTTTTACATTTTAAAGGAAATGTCAGGGGGGTTGGGGCTCGGGCTTGGGCGGCTTGGGCTTGGACTTGGAGCTTGGACTTGGAGCTGTTCTGCATGCTGCAACCACTGCCAGCCTGAGCTGGGGAAAGAGGTGCACAGGTGGAGCAACAGCCCTGTGCATCCGCACACCTCTTTTCCTGGCTCAGGATAGCAGTGGCTCAGGTTGTTCTCCTTTTTGCTCTTCAAGTTATGGCAAACCTAATGAAACTCTTTTTTCTTAAAGAACTGGTCCCTAGTGTTCATTTCTGGCTTCAAAATAATGATGTACATTTTAGGGACAAATATGCATCCCAGCAACCCGGCACTCGAGGCCAGAATGGAGAAGATCTCCACAGCCACCATGTATTTGCCTTTGGTACTCAGATAGGCTGGAATGAAAGATATCCAGACACTGCAGAAGACCAACATGCTGAAGGTGATAAACTTGGCTTCATTGAAACTGTCAGGCAGTTTCCTGGCTAGGAAGGCCACTGTGAAGCTGACACTGGCCTGAAAGCCCATGTAGCCCAGGACCGTGTAAAACATGGCATCTGAGCCTTCATTACATTGCAACACAATCTCCTCAGGCTGTGTGATCATATCAAGGTCTGGGAATGGAGGAGAAGTGAATAGCCAGACAGAACAGATGCCAACTTGAACAAGAGAGCCAAAAAGGATAAAATAGTTGGATAGCCTTTTGCCCACCCATTTCCTCATCTTGCTTCCAGGCCTTGTGGCCATAAATGCCACAACCACAATGATGGTCTTAGCCAGGACACAGGAAAGTGCAAGAGAGAATATGTTTCCAAAGGTAGCTTGTTGAAGAAGGCAGGTCACCTTGCTGGGTCGTCCAATGAACAGCAAGGAGCAAAGGAAGCAGAGCAAAAGGGAGATTAGCAGAAGGTAGGTAAGGGTCCCGGTTGTTGGCTTTGACAATGGGGGTATTCTGGTGTTTGATGAAGGTTCCAAGCACCAGGACTGTGAACAGCGCAAAAGAGACTGGCCACAGAAGCCAAATTGATTCCTAAAATGTCATCAATAGACTAGACAAGTTATGACTTTAGAGATACATCTGTTTTTATTGTTGTTTGGATGTTCATCTTCTGGACATTTTCCACACTTATCTGCATCTGTAAGAAATAAATATACCGTCTGAATAACAGGTGTTGTTGTTGTTTAGTCGTGTCTGACTCTTCGTGACCCCATGGACCAGAGCACGCCAGGCACCTCTGTCCTCCACTACCTCCCGCAGTTTGGTCAAACTCATGCTGGTAACCTCGAAAACACTATCCAACCATCTCGAAAACACTATCCAACCATCTTTGAAATAACAGGTACATACCTCTTTTAAATGTCTTATGTAATATGGCCAACCTGCTCCATGTGATTACATGCTTTCTATTTTTGGTGACTCCTTGATCTGAAAGCAACCCAAACCAGAACAGAGTGCTTTCAGATGAGTAAAACACTTTACAAGGATGGTGGAATTAATGCAGGTAGGGGGAGCCTGTTGCCTTCCAGCTTTTCTTAATTGAATTACAGCTTCAACCATTCCTGACCATTTACCATATAGTTACTGCTGATGGAAGTTGCAGTCCAACAACATATAGAGAGCCATCCCTGGATTAATTGGTCAAAACCAGCACAGAGCTGTTGTAGAAGTATCATCCCTGAATAGGGTTGCCATATTAAAATGAAAGAAAGCAAAAACCCAGACACATTTGTAGGTCGGCCGTGATGCGAGGCAGAAGGTTGGGTGAATGGGTGGGCAGGGGGCAATTGGCGGCAGCGGGATTAGTGAGCGAGTGATCAGCAGTGGTGGGTGAGCGGGCAATCGGTGACCTGCCTGCAAGGGACATAACCCACAAGGTGACCTGGGGGGCTGAGCGCACTCCAAGTGTGCATGCATACTATGCAGCCGCCCCAGAGCCCTGCCCACTCCCATGCGCTTTCCTGGTGCCCCTGCCCTCCTCTCAAGTTTCAAACCTGCACCCGATTCTCCTTCCTTGACAGCGCTGGCAGCTGGCGCATTAGAGGAGGAGAAAGGTTGTTTTCTGCTGCTCCAGAGAAGCGGACACGGAGCATTGGATCCAAACTACAAGAAAAGAAGATTCCACCTAAAACATTAGGAAGAACTTCCTGACAGTAAGAGCTGTTCGACAGTCGAACTTTTGCTGCCAAGGAGTGTGGTGGAGTCTCCTTCTTTGGAGGTCTTTAAGCAGAGGCTTGACAACCATATGTCAGGAGTGCTCTTGATGGTGTTTCCCTGCTTGGCAGGGGGTTGGACTTGAATGGCCCTTGTGGTCTATTCCAACTCTATGATTCTATTCTATGATTTATTTTAATAGATAATAGGTAAATAGATAAATAGGTAAATTAGGTAAAGAGATAAATAAACCCAGACATTTTGGGTAAAATGATAAAATACACCTACATGGTGTGCTGGTGCCCCAAAAGAGGACATGTCCAGGAAATCCTGACATATGGCAATCCTACCCTTGAACAGGTAATATCCTATGTTATCCAGTTGTATACTTTACTGTTAATCTGACCACTAAACTGTTTTGAAGTGCAGAGCGTAATCATTTTCCCCCAATGGCAATTTCCTATAGATGAAAATGCACAAATAATTTGTAGTCTCTTAAATTCCAAATCTTGTTCCTGCCACTCGATTAAATGTTTATTTTAACTAACTTTGTACCAGTAAAATAAAATCCATGCATTTGTTTTCTGGAATTCATAACACACATTCATCACATCATGAAACCCTAAGTGCAGCTGTTCACCAATCCAGCTGCAAACCAAACCCAGTTTTGCTGAGCTTCAGCAATATGTTGGCCTGATATGCTTTCAGATCTAACTCTGGGGCACTATCTGGTTTTCCTGTGGGTTACAGATAGCACCTTGAGTATTAAATGAGAAGATGAAATAATGGAGAATGGCATGACTATTTGAAAAGAATACTAGATGCAGTTTCTTTCAGAAATTAGAATGTAGAGATTTTTGAATCACGTACCCACTTGGTTTGAAATTGTTCCGTCTGCACATTTGAAACAATCATAGCAGCAAGATTGTTCTCCTTCACGGACTTTTCTGTGATATCCAAGATGGCATCTTTTATTGCATAAAGAATGTGGTACTGTCTAACAAAAAATACAAGGGAATGCAGTTTAAATTAATATAATTGGATTTTGATTCAATGGTTTAATCTTTGTTTATCCACCCACCCCATAAAAGCCCTGGCATATACAGTGGTACCTCGGGTAAAGAACTTAATTCGTTCTGGAGGTCCGTTCTTAACTTGAAACTGTTCTTAACCTGAAGCACCACTTTAGCTAATGGGGCCTCCTGCTGCGGCTGCGCCGCCGCTGCACAATTTCTGTTCTCATCCTGAAGCAAAGTTCTTAACCTGAGGTAATATTTCTGGGTTAGCGGAGTCTGTAACCTGAAGTGTATGTAACCTGAAGCATATGTAACCCAAGGTACCACTGTATAGATATAAAATTTCCTATTCACATCTTTCACTTTGCCTTTAATGTATCTCAAGACTCTTTGTTGGTTTTGCTGCAAGAGACTAAAAGGGTGCTTTAAATTCATTAACTTCAGAGGGGAACATGCAGGGAAAGTCATTGATCTATAAATTCCAGTTGATGGCTGAGACGTACATGTCTATTGTGTGTTATGTAAAGAAATGTGTAAATACATACAGTATATTTCTGCATTAGTGAATGATAAAATAGAACACAGACTTGTGCAAAATATACCAATTCCAACGTAGCAGAAAATGCTAGGTGTGAATGAATGTTGTAATGTATTAAAGCATGTCAATATTTTTTATAGGAGGGTGGACAACAACTGCAATAAGGCCCCAGGAATCACATTCAGCCCTCCGTTCTGAGGTTTCCAGTGCCTGTTATAACAGAATTAACATTTTGTATTCTCTCTATAATTTCTTTCTTTCTATATAAGAAAAATAAAAAAATGATAATAACATTGTCATTGACATCACCAATGGGCAGAATACTCCATCAATCCAAATTCAAAAGTATTGATTCATGCAGGCAGTCCAAATGTCCAAATAGGTAACTAAATAAGACTGGTAATGATAAACACTGTGTTCAAATACCTCAAATTCCAAAGGGCAACAGAGGGAGAGTTAGTCAACACTTTAGCTTTTCTTCTTGTTAAAAAGGGGTGGGGAACTCACATGCCACATCTTTTAAGGTAAGCTGACACTCATCTGAAAGTTGCCACATACATTCTGAAGTCAGTGCTGTCACATTTTTCAGATGGAATGTAATCACACCTTCCCTAATTAATATACCATATTTTTCACTCTATAGGACGCACTCTTTCCCTTCTAAAAAGTAAGGGAAAATGTGTGTGCGTCTTATGGAGAGAATGCAGGCTGCACGACTAAGCCCAAAGCCAGTACAGGGAGACGGAGCGCTGTGCAGTGCTCCATCTCTCTGTTCTAGCTTGAGGATGGCTGCGCAAAGCCTCCGCAGGGCAGCGGGGTGAAGGCACCCCACTGCCTTGCGGAGGCTTCAAAGGCTGTCCCCGAAGCCAGAACAGTGAGACGGAGCGCTGCACAGCACTCCGTCTCACTGTTCTAGCTTGGGGATGGCTGCGCAAAGCCTCCGCAGGGCAGACTTCACCCCGCTGCCCTGCGGAGGCTTCATAGCCTGTCCCCGAAGCCAGAACAGCAAGAGGCTATCCCAGAAGCCAGATCCCTCTTGCTGTTCCAGCTTCTGGGGTTCATAATTTTTTTCTTCTTGTTTCCTCCCCCCCCAAACTAGGTGCGTCTTATCGTCCGGTGTGTCCTATAGAGTGAAAAATACAGTAGCTATTAAATACTTCTTCTATTCATTACGTTGGGTAGCTTCTACTACTTTATCAGAAAACCAGGGGACATTTTTAGTTATTCCAGACAACCCAATATATTAAATGGTGAAGCAATGGCTGTGGGAAAGGTTTCTATATATTTTTTCCACCATCAGCAGACATTGTACCCTGAAGTGGGCTGCAGCCTCTGTTTAGTTGTACACTTCACAGGTTTTCCAACAAAAGTGTTCTAACCCTTCCTATTACATGATTACACAGACCTCAAAATATCAGGGAACCACTTAGGATACTAAATATGATTGCATCAGCTTTCCTAATTTCAGAAGTTGACCAAAGGTTTAACCAAATTGCCAAAATTTATGATAGGAAAATCTCCAAAAACTCATAGAAAACCTTCCAGATCCTGGGTAGATCATACAACAATTTCCCCCTCAAAGGAACATGTACACAAAATGTGCAGCAATCTTTAAAACAAAATGACAAGTTTCAAAGATAGATGATTGGGGGGGGGATGCAAATCTGAAGGTATTACACACTGGAGTACCTACCAGGTTGAATTTGTTGGGCCATATAATGTCACGTTCCTTCATGTAAACTTTTTGATCTGAGGAAGCATGAGAAACTACTTTTCCAACTTTTACTTTGGTGAAAGAATTGTTGGGGAAAGTAACCATGTTAAGAATATCATATCCAATGGATGATTCCAAGTTTTCATTGAAATATATTTCATCTCCAGCACTGTTGTTAAAACGGATTTTTCTCAAAAAAGTGTGAAGCTAGATGAAAATGCAGAACTTCAGAATTTACCAAATAGAGAAAATGTTTGCAAGCATGTTCCTGGCAAGGCGATGCATAAATTTCAGTGCTTACAATAATTATGTTGTCATGTCGAAATGCATGTTTGATGGCAGTGGGGAATGGTCTAACTATTGTTCAGTTGTAATCTTCCCTAAATTGCAAAGATGACACAATTTTTCAGCGCTGCTTTTTAATTGTGTATTCATAAATCAATTAATTAAAAACACACACACCCTAGAATGAGTGCAACATTTTTCCTTGGGTGTTGAATAAATCTACTCTACTAGCATTTCCCAGGTGAAACCTAGTATTCTTCCTCACTAGTGCTCCACACCATTGACTCTTGCTTCCAGGAAATAAAATGAAAATAGAGACACAGAGCTTTGCAAAACACAAGGAGGGAAGAGGGAGAAGGAGCAGAATAATAAAAAGAGATGACCAATGAAAGTACAGTGGTACCTCGGGTTAAGAACTTAATTCGTTCTGGAGGTCCTTTCTTAACCTGAAACTGTTCTTAACCTGAAGCACCACTTTAGCTAATGGGGCCTCCTGCTGCCGCCGTGCCGCCGGAGCACGATTTCTGTTCTCATCCTGAAGCAAAGTTCTTAACCTGAAGCACTATTTCTGGATTAGCTGAGTCTGTAACCTGAAGCGTATGTAACCTGAAGTATATATAACCTGAGGTACCACAGTATGTCCTACTGAGTTCCACAATTGTCTCAATTGTGTAATAGTTATGTATACTGAATTTTTAAATAAATCGCGAGACATGAACTTTTTAGCTTATCAGCACTTACCTTTCCTCTGTGCTGTCCAGGCACAGTCTGCACTTTACAGGCAGAACTAAGAGGAAGTATCACATAAAAAATTTTCCCACACACATACCACAAGGTTCTAAGTTAATAATACCTTATTCAGAACTGTATGATCTCTATTTGGTTATTTTTAACAAAAAAAGAGCATCAGTAAAATACATGGGAGGCTTCATAGGGTATACAGGGCAGCCTACCCAACATACCATGAGTACACAATTGAGTGTCTAATTTTTTAGCCCATCTGTAAAATGCAAAGACAAGATCCAGCACACCTTTGCAAGTAACTTGAGGTTATCTCATCTAACATTACCTCCCATTGTTCCATTCTCCAAAGGTCCAATCTGAGTGCTTCTCCCATCAACACCCGTCTAGAAGAGTACACGACATGTAAAGAATGTGCCATAGCATAGATGGCATTATAGATAGCATAGCTCTCACCAGACATACTCATTTCAAATATAGTATTTGGAAGATGCTCCAGCATTTCCTCCCCAGAACAGAGATTGATATTTACTTCAGCCGCAAATGAATTTGAAATTGAACACTGAAACATAGCATACCAGAATTGTTGGATAAAAAGGTCATTTTGGTGCTGGTAAGGATTGAAGTTCTGGAGAAAGCTCCAGAATCCTGGTACCTCCTTGCTGTGGATTGCCATGGACAAGGAACCATGGAAGATTTTGAAATCCCACTCTTTAAGCAAAAAGGCTGAGGTCAAGTCCCACTGAGCTGGAATGATCCAAACCTTCTCTAAGGGTGTCTTCTTGAATGGTTGATGTAGATATAATGTTAACTGAAAAACCTTCATGGCATAAGTATCTCCATATGCAATGATCACATTGGCTGTGGTCACGCTAAGGGCAAACAAATCCTCTTCTTTATAGTGAAACTTATATCCATATTCATCCACTCCACTGAAGGCAACACGTGGTGCCTTTTCTGCGAAAGCGATGCAGATGGAATTCCTACTGAACACTGATTTCAAGCGTAGCTCAAACTCAGCTCCATTGTCATCATCGGATACAATGAGTCCAACCCATGTCCATCCAAAATACTGTATCAAGTGCACTATTCCTTCGTCCTGAGAGACTTCATTTGGAACCATTTGGTAGAAAAAAGGGAATTGAGGTTTATCCTTTAATGCTGGGTGAACTGAACTATAACTGAGCTATGTAAGAAAGAACATAATGATTTTTTCATTTTTATTTTTTGCAGTTCTGAAAAAGACACAAGAGCTTAACCACACACAAAACTAGTCCCAGTAAAACAGTTCTTTCTTAGTATAAGTTTGAAATTTTCACAGAAAAATATTCTTCTGAAAAAGTAGATAAGAAGGACCTGCCAGACTCCTTTTTAACTTTCTCTTCTTATCTTTCTACTGCTCTGCTAATCTTCCTTTTTAGTATGAATGGGGAGACACTAAGTTAAGAGATAAGAGCAAAAATGGAAAAATTGAGGCCAATGACTCATCTCCTCCAGCAATCTCTGCTGCGATGCCTTCTGAATTATCAGTAGGGTATGGTGGAATTTAAAAATTGCTACTTTTCACATGAAGATTATAATTTCTATCCAAATTCTTATTTCAAAGCCACTCTAACGTGCAGCAGCTCCTTCATCATATTTGAATTATCATCTCTCTTCATTCAATATGTTAAAAACTTCTCAAGGAAAACAATATAAATATTGACCAATTCTGAAATAACAGAAAATGTCTATTTCCCCCTCATTCTGAGGACATGCAGATGAATGGCTCAATGAATATCGTTTTCCAGCTGAAAGCCTTCAGACAGTGTTTGTCACTGCCATATCTCAAATTTTAAATAGAAGAGGGTTGGGACTGAAAATACAATTTTTCAAAAGGAAGAATAGAATGGTGGTGATGGTCTGGTAACACCATCAGTTGTAATATCAAGTTAATACTCTTGACATTGGTGGACATATCTACACCTGAAACAACATTGCTTCTCAGGGTTGCATTCCTGGTTGACCTAAGGAGTGTTTTTGCAGTCCCCTAGGAAGAGATGGGAAGAAGGATCTGCATGGAACACCATGTGGAACAGAAAGATTGTTTCCCTCTGCAGGTTCTGTTTATGCTTGGAATTAATCAAGTCCCCATAGTTCAACCCAGCTACTGTGCCCTTACATTTATTTCCCCAGCCTAAAAAGGGTTTCTCTGCTTCCTTTATAGCAGGGAGGCTCATTCATTTCATATCACAGAAATAGTGGCAGAAAAAAGCTTCAGGTGTTTTCACCTGCATAAAGTTGCTGTTAGACAGCATCAGCACCAGTGTGTGCATATGAAATAACAGAAAATGGCTATTTCCCCCTCAATCTGAGGACGTGCAGAACTCAACTGGGAACTCAGCTTGTCTATGCTGAACAAACAAGTAAATCAAATATTCGGTATACAATGTAACTTTTAAAGTCTGTCAGAATTTGATAGACCCACCCACTCCACAAAAAGAGAGGCGAAAGGGGAAAACAAAAAAGGCCAAGAAGAAAAAGCAGCACTGAAACTTTTAGGTCTAGATAGCAGCACATGGTGTTTGTATTGATCTTCAACCCTTACACAGATTCAATGAGAGTTCCCCCCTGCTTTTCTTGGACGAATATGATTTAATGTCCCCTACACACATTCCCACCTGGGGAATCTTATAAAGGCCTAAGACGTTGGCTATCTGCATGGAAGTGTCAGATGTTAGCCCTCCAACAATTGCTGAAATCTGGGGTTTCTTCCCACACTTGAAATTAGGGAAACTTTCTTTTTGTGACGACAAAAGGCTCAGGATGGTATCATAGCTCATCATTTGAAGGTTGAAATTGTCATAGATGTGGAACCCCAAGGTAACATTGGGTAAGAGTTTTGGGTTCTTGTTGATCTCATCAATAGCAAAAACAATAGCAAACACATGTTGGAAGCGCTTCAGCAGGGGCCTAAAAGGAAATAATTTCAGGATTATTTGTTCATTGTTATAGCTTTTGAAATCCAGGAGAAATCAGAAAAACAGTACAGTTAAACAAAAATCGAACATCAGTTGGCTTAATTTTCTATTGGCTTAAATCTTGCCAACTAGAAGAGAATGGTTTTCAGTTACTTTGCCTGAAAGCATTTTTTTTTTAAGCTAACACACAGGACTCAGCTACATTAGTTTTAAAAAATCATTTTAAATGTGTTATACCACTGTGACACCATACGGTGTAGAGTTTGGCCTTTCGGCAATGTGATTTCCCATTATAAGGTTCAAAACGTGTTTTCCAGAAATGGTTTTTTGATGTGTTGAGATTCAGCCTCAGTGTCAGGATTGAGGGTCTGAAGAACAGTTTCAAGGGAAAATCATTGCTCAGCTACAGAGCAGTCATAAAGCCACTGTGCCTTTATATGCTGCCTTGGGTTCAACCAGTTGAAGAGAACATGAATTTTAGTTCATGAAAACCTAGGCCAGAATAAATGTTAGTCTTGAAATGAACTAGGACTCTTTGCTGCTGCTGCTGCTGCAACAAGCAAAGGTAAATATTCCTCTGGAAGTTATGTGATGAACATGAGTTGAAATGCAATTTGGATGCATAGACATCAGTCACTTTGCAGTGTGTACATTTATCGCAATGTGCCTGCACTCTTCCACACTGGTTAGCATGAACTATCCAATCTCAGGGCAGGGATTAAGAAATTATTTCTCAACACCTTATTATCCCTTAGATTTAGTTACTTGGCACTGTTACTGTGACAATCATGTCTGAATCCTTCTGATTGCTCCATAACCTAATAAAGTACAGAGTTACTGCATCACATTTCCTTGCATACCCTTAGGCAAAATCTCAAAGGACTCTTCTTTTGGTGTGGGAGTATGAAGAGATAAAAGTTCCTCAGTGCTGTTACTATGGCATCAAACTTGGAATTTACGTATTTGCCCTACATTCAAATAAAGCACAGACTTACTGAAACACATTTTTCTTGAAACACATGGGTATAATCGTGAAGTTCTCATGTGAATGAACACTATCATGCAATGATAAAATTCCCCCAATGACATGCTTTTTAGGCTTATAATAATCAAAGTAGCAGTTGTTGTCTCCTCCATGGCTCCCCTTGAAGTTGTCACTGATAGCCTGTGGCAGCAACAGAAGGAGCAGAAGCAAGAACAGCATTTTGGATCCCAGCAGTTTAGTCAATGACCCAATCATTCATCCATTCATGTGCACAAACAGCTGAAACTACACTCCATGTTGTAGACCCAAGCATCTAATCTGACATTATTCACCCTCATTTTGGTGGAGCCCTTTCATGCTCATCCTTGCATTTCAAGGGCAAAGAGCACTTATAACAGATGTCATGGCCTTAATAACTATTATTTTCAATTGATATTCTGTCTATTATTTACAATTCGGAAGCTGCATCGAGATATCCCTGGAGCTTTGAAATTAAGAAAACCTCAATCACCACATTTGCGATAATTATAAGGGAATTAATCATATTTTTAAAACCTTTTACTTTTGGAGGTCTGTGTGCCGCACAACAGTTTTATAATTTAAAAAATATAACCAGACATTTACTAAAGGCCATTTATAATTGTCTGTGGATTTCTAGCAGGTGTTTTCACTGTATTCTTTTTGGCACCTGCTAAAAATAATAATAATGCTTGATGGTTGGCCAGGGAAGCTGAGATTTAATTCCATATTTTCATCGCAGACCACACTGTTACCAGACTGCAAAAGACTGAAGGCAGTCTTGAGCACAAACTCTAAATGAATGTTAACATTATTTAAAATAAATAGGGAATAATGTCTCTATGGAAAATGTGATTATATTGGAATAAAGTGCAGAAGTAGAACAGCCACTGAAGTAGTGGTATATGGATGTTATGGGGCGGATGTGATGGCAATGATCAAGAACTCAGTGGTTCCAATTTATCCATATCTCTTTAATAGCCAAGAACCTGTTAATTCACAACCGATGCTATCCAATAGTAACAGTCAATGCATGGATACAAAATTAAACACATACTTTGTATAATGGAAAGTTCTATATAGGGTTAGAGATCAAAATTCAGAGAACTCAAGAAAAACGTTTTCAGTGAAATAGCTTTCTTGCATCTGGGAACATTCACACAGCTACATATGGAAAGTTATACTGTAAACAGCTTTGGGGGTTTCTATAGTAATTGAAATATTCTTAAAGTACCTTTAGTGCTCTATTTGTGTGTATTAGTTAGGGTTAGAGGAGAAACATTTTTTCTAAATTGCTACTAAAATGGAAAAACTGTCAAAAGAATATTGCAATATTTATGTATTAGTCACATTTACACACCACCTTTCCTCTGAAAATCTTAAATTAACTTACATAGGGTTCCGAGATGGTCCTCCAGGAACATCTTCAGAGCCAGCTGTTCTTCACTTCAGAGCAAAATTGTGCTATATAGATTCAGATTATCTTCCAAGTCTATTGTCACCGTACTATTGATATTGTACATGTTTATGTTCCGCAGTTAGTAATAAAAAGAAATAATATGATCATGCAATTAAATACTATAGAAATTACTGTGATGAACTCTATCATGAGCCTTTAATTTTTGCACAGGATGACAGTATCTCATAGACAACTTTCTGCTTTTAAAACAAGTATATCAGCTGGACGGGATTAGTTTCAACACCGTCTTCTTGAGAGCTCCTTTCACTTCTTTGTTCCTCAGACTGTAGATAATTGGATTCAATATGGGAGTAATAACAGAATAAAAGAGAGAAAGAAGCTTATCCACATTCAGAGAGTAGCTAGATTTGGGGCGTATGTATATAAAAATGGCCGTCCCATAAAACAAGGAGACAACAACAAGGTGTGAGGAGCAGGTGGAGAAGGCCTTCTGGCGGCTCTGGGCTGATTGCATCCTCAAGATGGTAGAAATGATGTGGAAATAAGACATAAGGATCAGCATGAAAGGCATCAGGATTACAAATGCAGCAGCTACAATGATTTGGATTTCGTTCCAGTATGTGTCTCCACACACTAGTTTTAGCACTGGCTGGATTTCACAAAAGAAATGGTTGATGACCTTGGAGTCACAGAAGGGCAGGTGGAAAATGAAGGTGGTATGACCCACAGCCACCAGACAGCCACAAGCCCAAGAAAAGACAGCGAAATGGACACATGCTCTCTTTCTCATAATTACCGGGTAGCGCAGTGGATTGCATATAGCGATGTAGCGATCATATGCCATGATGGCTAGCAGACAGCACTCAGTGGCACCAAAGAAGAGGAAAAAATACATTTGAGTGGCACATGCATGTAAAGATATGGTTTTGTCAAGAGCGACAATGTTCTCAAGCAACTTGGGGATTGTGACTGAAGTATAGCAGATCTCCAGGAAAGACAAGTTCCTGAGGAAGAAGTACATGGGAGTGTGGAGGGCAGCATCAACACTAATGATGACAATGATGAGGACATTGCCAAATACAGTGACAAGGTAGATGCACAGGAACACTACGAAGAAAAGGAGTTTGAAATCTGAAACATTAGAAAAACCCAGTAAAATAAAGGCATTCACTGAGGTGCTATTTTCCATTGTTTTTTCTTTGATATCTTTTGTCCATGCAGTAGACTTGGAAGAAAAGGAGGGGGGCATAAATGAGAAAAAATATGGAAATGGAATTATTTGCATTTTTCAAATGATTCTAAAGATGCTAGGAAACTATAATTCACAATAAACAATATCTCACCTATGAATTTTGCTCTTTAACAGAAGTATCAGCGCTGCAAACAGGGCATTTTATCAACTACTTTTCAACTCTTGAGGCCAAGTCCTTTGTGGATTTCGTTAGTTGGCCTAGTTTTCCTGCTAATTATATTGCTGCCAAATCAGTGCTTTGTTTTATTTAGTTATTTAAAAGAGAGAGATACAATTAATAGATTGTTCCAATTAAATCTGCTTTGAGGATTCTGTTTGGCCATTACTCGTTATCTAAGGAGACTCTGCCTGCTTTAGTTCACTTGCCAACACACCCCACCAAAACATTCTACTTGCTGAAATCTCTGCCCAAGTAAAAATATTGCCCCAGCTTCTCCCTTCTATTCTGTAACTCAGTTTTGCACTTGTATTTTCAGCTTCACTTCTCCCCTCTCATTTTCTACAACCTGCCACATGCAGCTCCATGGAAACCACCTCGCACTTCCCCCTCCCACACATTGCAGCTACTAAGCATACTTTCCCCCTTGCACCCAATTATGACATTCCCTCAAATTCTGCAGCCCTTTTTGTACCCCTGATTTCATCTACAACCCTGTTCCCATGTATCTTACTCCCTTCTTCTTCTTCTTCTTCTTCTTCTTCTTCTTCTTACCCTCATTATCACCTTCAACCTCTTTTACTCCTTCCTCCTTTTTCACTACAAAAATCCTAAATGGGGTTAGGATTGCAGCCTCACCCTGCAATCCTGTATTGAAATGTTTGTTTATGTTGGTTATTAATCTGCTCTAATACTATAATATTGTTAGACAGTTTTGATTTTCCTCAGAAAGGAAAAGAGTCCATAAGAAATGAATTTATTAAATTAATGGCGGTGTACTCAGAGTAAACCCATGGAAATTAATGAACATGTTATTCTTGTCTATTAACTTAAGGGATCCACTCTGAATACCACCCTATCTGCTTCAGTTTTCCGCAAGAGCAGTCCCTGTTCCTGGAATTAAAGGGGCCTGCCTTCACAGGCACATTTCTCATGAGGTATATGACCAAGGAAGATGCAACTATTTACCATATTTTTCGCTCGATAACACGCACCTGACCATAACACGCACATAGTTTTTAGAGGAGGAAAACAAGAAAGAAAAAATTCTGAATAAAACAGTGGATGTATCATTTTTGTCCTTCATGCTGTGGCCACAGACATGTGATTTGACAGTGAGTTTGGGGTAGCCCAATGCAAAAATCCTGAGAATCCATGTGGATCTGTGCTTTATAACTACGTTTTTGCACCATTGTGGCCCCAGGCAACAGTGGGTGCGTGATTTTTTTGGTGCAGGCTGTAGCCATGGACATGCTATGTGATCTGATGGTGAATTTGGGGTGACCCAATGCAAAGATCCTGAGGATCCATGTGGATCCGTGCTTTGTAACCACGTTTTAAGTGGGGAGGGAAGGAAAAACACAGAAGGGACAAGGAGCACGAGAGGGGTGTGCGGAGAAGCAGCTGGCTAACAATGCAGGAGAGGGATTTAATGGGAGGGAGGAAAGGAAGGCAAAAGTTTTCCCCCACCCACCCAAGCCAGCCCCCCCCCTCTCTCTCCCACCTGCATTTTCCGGCTGCCTGTGATGCTGGACGCAGCAGCGGAACATGGAGAGGAGGAGGTGGTGGTGTCGGCTGCGCTCCTAGCCGACGGAACCTGAGCCGGGTGGGCTGGAGTTTGAGCAAACACAGCAACCGAAAACAGTGGGCAGTAAGACCCTGAGGCAGAATGCAGGAAAGCAGCAACCTCCTCTCTTTAGCCTTCCCTCCTCCGTGATCTGATTTTTGCCTGATTTTTGCCCCTGTACTCGGGCCAGTCGGCTCCAGGGACCACACATTCGCTCAATAACACACACAGACATTTTCCCTTACTTTTTAGGAGAAAAAATGTGAGTGTTATAAAGAGAAAAATACGGTAATTGTCACCTTCTGTATCTTCTCCATTTCTTCAGTATAGTTTTAGGCTAATAAAAAATATCGTAGATGTGAGTGGAGATAGTATTTGAACATTGAGTGTCTCCCTCCACAGTACCAAATATTCCCTATTCGATCCAGACAGATTCCATTTAATGAGATAAATATTTAGTCAATTTAGCCAATTAAGCAGATAATCAGGAAGTATGGCACTGAAAATGAAATACATGTTGGTGCTTTCATAGTTTATTATTCTCAGATAGGAACATAAGGTGTCCTGGACATTATGCAATTTAGCACATACAATATATAGTCCACTTCTGGGCTATGTCTTGCTGACTTGTTGCTCATTGCTGGTATCTCTTCAAAATAATCTTCTCTGTGGTTTAGTGAAATTCTTTTTTCTTAAAGAATTGGTCCCTAGTGTTCATTTCTGGCTTCAAAATAATGATGTACATTTTAGGGACAAATATGCATCCCAGCAACCCAGCACCCGAGGCCAGGATAGAGAAGATCTCCACAGCCACCATGTATTTGCCTTTGGTACTCAGATAGGCTGGAATGAAAGATATCCAGACACTGCAGAAGACCAACATGCTGAAGGTGATAAACTTGGCTTCATTGAAACTGTCAGGCAGTTTCCTGGCTAGGAAGGCCACTGTGAAGCTGACGCTGGCCTGAAAGCCTATGTAGCCCAGGATAGTGTAAAACATGGTGCCGGCGCCCTCATTACATTGAACAACAATCTCCTTAGGCTGTGTAGTCATATCAAGATCAGGGAAAGGTGGAGAGGTAACTAGCCAAATGGCACAGATACCAATTTGAATAAGAGAGCAAAGAAAGATAATGTAGTTTGAGAGCCTTTTGCCCACCCATTTCCTCATCTTGCTTCCAGGCCTTGTTGCCATGAATGCCACCACCACAATGATGGTCTTAGCCAGGACACAGGAAAGTGCAAGAGAAAAGATGTTTCCAAATGCTGCTTGTCGAAGAAGGCAGGTCACCTTGCTGGGTCGTCCAATGAACAGCAAGGAGCAAAGGAAGCAGAGCAAAAGGGAAATTAGCAGAAGGTAGGTAAGGTCCCGGTTGTTGGCTTTGACAATGGGGGTATTCTGGTGTCTAATAAATGTTCCAAGTACCAGGGCTGCAATAAGAGCGAGAGAAAGTGCAGCAGAAGTCAAACTCATGCCTAAAAATTCATTGTAGACCAGGAAGCTTGTGGCTTTCGGAATACATTTGTTCTTATTTTTGTTGGGATATTCATGTTCCGGACATTTTTCACACTTACGTGCATCTGTAGGAAGCAATTAGACTTTCAGTGTAACAGGTTTGTATAACTTTCAGAGGCATCACATAGTTCCTATGGCTTAGTTCCTATTTTGTTTCTCACTTCATCTGCAAACTAGGCAAACTTTTTTTAAAAAAAATGACTGGTAATAGTTGGATACTCTTTGTGGAACAAGGATTTTGTTCAACTTAACAAGCAAAAGCTCTGCAGGACCTGGTACCTTTCTGCCATATCAATTGCCCCAAGCCCTGCAGACTTTGGGAGGAAATAAACTTCTGTTGCTATTGTAGTGGTTATTGTTTTTGCATTTGTTGATGATGTGCACTGGGTTTGGAAAAGCCCACATTCCAAAACAAATAGTGCCAATTCTGGCTTGGGCTGAATTGGATTGATAGAACTCTGGTTTGCCCCAAGTGAGTTGTGCTACCTGGAGCACTCTGTTGCTGTGAGGTGGCAGCGTGTTGAGCTGCAGGCATCTCCTTCCACAAGGAGTGCTTAAGCAAAGACACATTTTGCAGGATTGACTCCCAACTCTCCGTCCCCTAATACTGCCCTTCCAGTCCTTCTCACAGTCCATCCAAGGTTACATTACCACAGCAACTGCTCAGTCCTTCCATCATCCAAAGCTTGGCTGCAAATGAAGTCAGTAATGCAGGTGGAGCTGAGTCCTGGCTGGGGAAAAGTGAGCAGGGAGCCACAGCCAGCATAGCCCAAGCTCAGCCTAGGCCCAGCTGTGAAGGCTGTATTGCAGTATTTGGTAGGCCAAGGTGGTTGCTGTGGCAATAACATCTTGGGAAAGGGAGATAAGGAGGCCTAGTGGCCAGGTATGTACGTAGTAGAAGAGTCAGTATTCAATCAATTCCTTTGTAAAAACCTTGCAGGGAATACAGGTTCAAAGGATTGTCCTGTACCTCACATGATTGAACCCTTGGGTTATAGAAATGCTTAACAAATATTGACCCCCCCCCATTTGATTCAGGGTCAGATTCAGGTAGGAGCACGTGCTCTCTGGATAGATTAAGTTCAGGTCAGCCCGATCTCAGTCCCTGGATCAGGATCCCGCATTGGGGATTGGGGGGTGGCAGTGTGCACAGTTGCTGCTGTTGTTATAATTTCTTACTTTTACATCACCATAAGCTCCCAGGACAGACTACAGCAATTTTAAATAAGGATTAAAAACACTTTAAAAAAATACAGTCAAAGGAATATGGTAGGTCTTGAAAATATATATCTAAAAGGCCATGATAAAGAGATGTGCTCCCAGCATACATTTGAATTATATAAAGAAAGTCCCAAACAGTAGATGACATATAATGGAAAATCCCATACCTGTCTGGTTTGAAATGGTCCCTTCTGGACACTGGAAACAGTCATGGCAACAAGGTGGTTCTTCATCACGGACTTTTTTGTGGTATCCAGGATGGCATCTTTCAGTGCACATAGAAGGAGGCAATGTCTAATCATAAATACAAGGTAACACAGTTTAATTTAATTCATCTGAAGTTATTGATTTTGACTGGTTTTATGTTGTATTTTAATTCAGTGATGCTCGTAAGTGTGAAAAAAATTCAGTGATATTATTAATAGTTTTTACAATGATTTTACAAATCTCCTACTTGGAGATTTTGGCTTTAAAAAACAAATAAAAATAAAAGAAGATATCTGCTTCTGGGCACTGGCACTGCTAACATGTTGTTTGAATTGGGGTAAATGTTTGAGGGTTTGGTGCCATTAAAACAGGGGTCAGCAAACTTTTTCAGCAGGGGGGTGGTCCACTGTCCCTCAGACCTTGTGGTGGGCCAGACTATATTTTGGGGGAAAAATATGAACGAATTCCTATGCCCCACAAATAACCCAGAGTTGCATTTTAAATAAAAGGACACATTCTACTCATGTAAAACACGCTGATTCCCGGACCGTTCGCGGGCCAGATTTAGAAGGCGATTGGGCCGGATCCAGCCCCCGGACCTTAGTTTACCTACCCATGCATTAAAAGCTTGCCATGCCATGCCATTAAAAGCATTCAAACTATTTCTTTTCCCAAACATTTTTTTACCACTATCACTTACATATTGTCTTTAGAATATTTTATATAAGTCTATATTACATTTCTTTGAGAAGCATTTTTGAGAATTTCTAAGTTTAGATCATTTTACATTTTTATTGTAATTTTCCTCATTTTATATCCTTGCCTGAGTTCAGTTTTCAAAAAAACATTCAATGACCCATATTTTTACAATAACTTATTTCCAATATGTCACAATTGGAGAAACTCCAGCTATGCTGGCATATTACTATTTATAAGAATTCTCCAGAATTAAACAATTCCTTATTTCCCTTATTAGTACAATAGATTTTAACAAAACAAAAATGAAAGACCCCGAAGCCACTAAATTATGCTCTCAAAGGTCTCTTGGGCAAAAAAACATGTAAGCAATTTTTAATATACAGTCATAACTACTTAGCATAGATTGGAAAAGAAGAAACAAGACTGAAGGTAATTAAATGTGGAGTACCAACCTGGTTGAATTTGTTGGGCCATGTAATAGTATGTTCCTCAATGTTAACTGGCTGGTCTGAGGAAACCTGGGAATTTATCCTACCAACTTTCACTTTCCTGAAAGTGTTATTTGGGAAAGTAACCATGTTAACAATGTCATATCCCATGGACAATTCCATGTTTTCATTTAAAAATATCTCCTCCCCAGAACTGTTGTTGAAACGGACTTTCCTCAAATGCGAATGGAGCTAGATAGAGAGACAAAACCTCAGGATTTACAAAAGCAATGTTTTACAAGCATGTTTCTGGTGCAACAGTTTGAGACATTGCTGTCCTTATGTCAGTGGTTTTCAACCAGTGTGCCATGGCACCCTGGGCTGCCTTGAATGATGGTCAGGCATGTCGTGGGCAACCATGGCCTCCATCCCTCTTTCCTCCCTCCTCTGATGCTGTCTCGCGTCTCTGACTCTGAAAGGCTTTCACAACAGTTTGTTGCAGCAGCCCTGGCTACAAGCTCCCAAGGTGAATGGCGCCTCAGGGGCTGGCCAGGGGGTGCTTCCCAGGCCCTTGTGGGACAGTGTGAGGAGGCACCTCTCTTTGGGGTGGGGGAAGGCAGCAGTGGCTGCCCAGAGGACTCCCAAGGAGAGGGGAGAGAAGAGGAGGTTGAGGGAACACATTCCAAGGGAGGGTGTTTGAAAAGGGGTGAGGGGCTGCCTGCTCTGCAGGCAAGGGGTGACATAACTGAGCCCCACAGGCATGCCACAGAAAGAATGTAGATACTCAAGGGAGCCATGGACCTAAATATGTTGAAAACCTCTGACTTACGTTGGCATTTTTGTGTCCCTGGAAGAAATTCATGCTATGTGTATGTATTAGCATTGGAAGGCCCTAATTACTTAATTACTGGGGTGCCTTCCTAGATTTCTAACATTACTCTCTTTTTCAATGCTACAGGTACTCACCACTTTGCAGTGAAAGAAAGAAAAATAATATGCTAGGGAGAAAGTCTTTTAAAAAGAGCAAAAAGTTACAACATACAGCACAATAAAAACAAAGCTAATCTAAATAAAAACAATTAAAAAGGGAAACAAAAAAGAGGAAAAAGAGGGGGGAAATACAAAGCCCTGTTTTAGAGGCAGATCTTAACCCTTGTTTCTCACAAAAGGGGACAGATCCTCCTAGGTCTCACCTGGGAACTTTCTTTTCTTTTCCCAGCCTCCCAGCCTTTGAGTCTTATGTGTAAAATGGGTGACTAAAATTAGCTGCCACTAATCAGATACAAATCATTTGATAAAGGAGGACCACATCATATTAATCAAATGTCAGTTTGTTTGTTTGTTTGCTTGCTTGCTTGCTTCATTTCACAGATAACTGAATAAGTTGCAGCACATCTTCTTGAAGTGATCACATGCACCAAGATTTCCATGGCACCAGTGATTTTCATATGACAAAGTACTCCAATAATATTTGAAGGGCAAATGTTTGGCAAAGGCTGATGTAAAGGGTCAGCATTCAGTCTTAGAGGACCATAGAACTGTGACAAAGCCTGATTATTATTCAATGGAATGTGAAGGTAGAAATATTCAGTAATAAATTATAACATGATAAACACAAGCAGAGATTATTTTACATTGGCAGATCATGGATGATAGTGTTGAGTATAAATCCAATCAAATTCTTATAGGGAATCTCAGAACCACTTAATAATAATAATCAATGCTTCTATCAGTACTTTCTTTCAGGGTTCCATTCAGCCTAAAGCAAATTATAGCCAACTGTCAATACTAGCTAATTGTAACCAATCTTAACTAATAATTCATGTTGAGTGTCCAATCTTCCTCACAATGTTGCAGGATAAAGTAAAATGATGTGTCCACAAAATTGTTTTTCACTTTTTTATATTTAGTTAGAGATCTGCAAATAATATCTTTTCATGTAGAAATATATGCTCTGCTTAAAATCATTTTTCACTGAAAGGAAGCTTCAATGAAATATATGCCAGGCTTCTTACAAAGCCACTTTGACCAGTGAAGGGTTTATCGGTGTTTCCATAAAATTATTATTAAAATTCCACTGTTTTAATCTGGCACAAAGTTTTAATTTGGCACAATCAGATTCTCAAATAGCTAAAAAAATAACTCACAGTTAAAGTAGTGCCACTAAATATAAAACATTACCTCCCAAGGTTCTACTGTCTGAAGGTCCAGTCTTGCTGTTCGTCCCACCAATGGCTTTCTGGAGGAGTAAATATCACGTAAAGCATGTGCCAAGGCATAGATTCCATTATAGATAGTGTAGCTCTCACCAGACATATCCAACTCAAACATTGTCTCTGGAAGACTTCCTAGCATTTCCTCCCCAGTACAATTTTTGATATTTCTTTCCATCATAACAGAATTTGTGATGGAACACTGAAACATAGAATACCAGACTAACTGGATAAACACATCATTCTGGTGCTGGTAAGGATTAAAGGTCTGGAGAAAGTTCTGGAATCCTGGCACCTCATTTCCATGCATTACCATGGACAAAGAACCATGGAATAATTTGAAATTCCAGTTTGTATGAAGAAAAGGTGAGGTCAAATCGAAGTGGGCTGAAATGACCCAGACATACTCTAATGGCCTCTTCTTGAATGGTTCATGTATAGTCAATATGAACTGTAAAGGTTGCATAAGAGAAGTTTTCCCATATGCAATAATTACATTGGCTTTAGTCATACTAAGAGCTGTCAGGGTATCATTTTCATAAAACATCTGGTTTGTAGTTTCATTCACTCTCTTAATGAAAAGACCAGGTGCTATTTTTGTGAAAGCAACACAAATGCCATTCCTACTAAATAGTGATTTCAAACTTCCCAAGACCTCAGGTGTATTATTGTCATAGGAAACAATGAGTCCAACCCATGTCCATCTGAAATATCTGATCAAATGCACTATTCCTTCATACTGAGAAGCTTCAGCGGGGACCATTTGGTAGAAAAAAGGGAACCGAGTTTTATCCCTTAGCACTGGGTCAACTGAGCTATAACTGAGCTGTTGAGAAAGAACATAAGGTGTGAAAAAGACTTTAAAACCTGGTTGCAGTTTAATTTTGTCACATAAAAGTAGTCGCAGGTGAACTGGACTCTACCTTCAAAGAATTCTGAAGTCTTCCCTGGGCCCAGTCAGAGGAAAATAGAAGAATCCTAATAAAATAAAAAACTAAGAAGGCACTGCTAACCACTTTTCTGTTCAGTCTCTTCCCATCACTGCTTAGCTGGTAATTTCTTCCAGCAGTTGTGAGAGGGGGGCAAACATTGTTATCCAGTATGCAGAGAGATAAAATAAAATTGAGAAATGCAGGTCATGTACTCCATACCAGAGTTACTAACATATATTTGGCCCAAGATCCACATTGACCGTCAGCCATCTCTTTGCAGCAGGAATGCAAACTTGGCCCTGCAACCATTGGTGCCTGGGGCCATGGGTGGCATGCAGCATGCATGGGCCTGGCACCTAAATTTGTAAGTGCCCAGCCCCTTCACGGGGAATTTTGTGGGTGCTTGGGCACCCATGACCCCAAGGAGTTGGCACCTATGGTCTGCAAGGTGGGGGAGGGGACAAGAGGGTGGGAGGAAACCTGGTGGTTTGGAAAGGGGCCCAGGGCCTAACCCTGTTGCATTATTATTATTATTTTGTCTTTTGTGTTAGCACCATTATTTATTTGTTAATTTCCTATTCCACATTCCATTTGTATACCAGACCGAACATGATTGGGCTTTCCTCCACATCAATACAAATCCCATGTAAAGAATTTGCTGAAGAACTCATTTAGTGGTTTACTTTAATCATCTCATTATTATGTACTGTAAAGCACATTTAGTAATTTACCACCCTAATGACCATTTTGTTTGTTTGTCATGCCATGTTTTATGATTTATGTGTATATAATTTTGTAACAAGAAAATAAAAGCATTTTAAAATTAAAATAAATAAATTAGCAAACAATCAGTATTATATATTAATCAACAGTCATAATATTCATTATAAACCTTCCAATTTCCAGTTTCTATGCATATGTACTCCATAGTTTCTACCAATATGCCCAGTGTCTTGATCCCTTATGCACACAGAGTTATTTCCATCAAAATTATTATTATTATTATTATTATTATTATTATTATTATTATTATTATTTTCTTTCTTTTGGGGTCCCCCTCTTTTATTTGGTATTCTTGTGCAAACATGTGTGAGAGGGCGAAGGAAAGAGAGAGGAAGTGAAATCACACCTTCATGTCTCTTTCTGTGAAGCATCTGTTGATCTATTGCAAGAGATATCGATCATATAAGAAGTCAAGTAGTCAGTCCTGTCCTAAAAACAGCAAGACTCTGAAAAAGTGTGCAAAGGTACTTCATCTGGAAGACACCATTTAGTGTGCTTATCTCCCTGATGTGGGCTCTTCCAATCAAATGCTCGACAGATTCAACAAGAGGTTGTTTCTTCCATAATGAAGAACATGGTTCTGCATATCCTTACCTGTGGCAGCTTATAGAGGCCTAAAATAGCAGCTATCTGCATATGAACATCAGAGGATAGCCCACCAACAACTGCTGACATTTTATATTGCCTTCCACACCTGAAATTAGGAAATCTTTCTTTTTGAGATGATGGCCGGGTGAGGATGATATCATAGTTCATTTTTTCATCTAAGAAATTATCATAGATGTGGAACCCAATGGTAATATTTGGCAAGAGTTTCGGATTATTGTTGATCTCATTGATAGCAAAATTGATGGCGAAGGCATGCTGGAAGTTCTTCAACATCGGCCTAAAATGAGAGTCATTGACTTAGATTTTTTTGGTACATCTTTTAGCTGCTTCATTTGCATTCTCAAGACTCTCATAGGAAACCTGATTCAAACCCACAAGAAAACAGAAAGCAAAAGCATAAAAATAAAATTTTAGAGTTCATCAGAATAACTCACTATTGGCTGATTTCTGGGGAGCCAGAATAGAAAGATTTTTCTCTTATGTTGCCTGGTAGTCACACATACATGAAATGGCCAGTTAAAGGCTTTACATAACTTCCAGAGAAAGAGAATTGCTTGGTTAAGGGGCATCCATAGAAACATGGCTTTGCTGTTTAAATATGATGTTTGACATACACACACACACACACACACACACACAGAGAGAGAGAGAGAGAGAGAGAGAGAGAGAGATGCATTGCATATACAGTGCACTGTGAACAGAATAATGGAGGAGTTGAACTGCAACAAGTAAATCTGAACCATTATTTCAAATTGCACATGCAACTGGCTTTGTTGCTGACACCTCCTTCTCAACAAGGCATTTGGTTTCCAATTAACATATTATAATATAGGAGATTTCCATGTTCATTCAATTTCCAGATTTCCAGGAAATTGCAGCTTCCGGTGGCCACATCCTTTACAGATGTGTTATTTAGGCACTATTGATACAGTACGGTGTCCTATCCTGCACTTAATTCTAACTTCACCACTGTCTTGGAGCTGGGTTTCATTTTAATGCCATTTATTCTCATTGTTTATTTTCTTCCTCTTTGCTGATGCACCCCTACCAATTAAGTATAATGCCACATACATCTGAAGACATTTATCCTAGCCAATGGGAGTATCAGTTTTTCAGGTACTATAGGAGTCTGTGTTTGATGATGCAATGAAATACCCCTCTGGAAGTTCTGGTGAACATGTAAAGTAGTCTAATAGGCACCATTCACGTCATATGACTCCACACTGGCATATGCTACAGTTGCCATGAAAGTTATTGCTATGGTACTGAGTAGAGTTAATAAATTGTTCTCACCACCAAGTTACTTAGCCCTGATATTAAGGTATCAAACTTGGAATTTGCCCTACATTCAAATAAAATAACAGACTTACTGAAACACCCTGTTCTTGAAATTTATGGGTATAACTGTGAAGTTCTCATGTATATTTACAAGAGCATGCAATGATAAAAGTCCACCAATGACATGGTCACCAGGCTTATAATAATCAAACTGAGAACTATCTCTTTCTCCTCTGTGGCATCCCTTCGCGTCCTTGCTGATGGCTTGAGGCAGCATCAGAAGCAACAGAATAAAGAACAACATTATGGATCATTGTAAAAAGAGACAGTGGGAATTATACTGAACAGTATCTATACGCTTATTCTAGCCTGAGCATCTAATCTGAGATTACATAACCTCGCATTCAAAGGCTATATAAGGACTTGCAACTTTGCCTTTCCCCCTTTATTTTATTCATAATGTCAATAATTTTGAAAGTTATATCTGTAAATCCTTTGGGGCTTCAGCACACACTGAATTACAGTACTTCTGATAATTACAGAGAAGCTAGGCACCTTTCAAAAGCTGCAGAATTAAACTGCAACCCAAACATACATGCTTTACCTTAAAATAACGTTATTTTATAGTATGTTGTAGTAGAAGATATCCTACTTGTCTGGTCAAAATACCAATTCAAGGTGGCTTACAGTATCATAAAAATAAGATAACACACGGGATTTTTTTTAAAAAAGTTTAATTATTTGAAAAACAAACAAACGGAAATACCGGAGTAAAAAATTTAAAGGAACTGTTTTCTTTTCTTTCTTTTTTTAAAAAAACCTCACAATTTATAAAACAGTTATAACTTTCCCTCACAAGATTCTTCATACTCAGAGGAATTTGCCTGACTGCATTACTAGCAAAGTCAATTTATTTTGACATAAGTTTTCATCAGATGCATGAAGTCATATTCTCAGACAGCAGGGTACAGTGTATTCATATTTGGGGGTGGGCAGTAAAGGGGGATCCACAGAAGAACCCTATGAAGGAGGGGGTATTATGGCCATTCTGCAAAAGGGCAGTTGAGAAAGTGTGACCTGTTTGATTTCACCTAGTGACAAGACAATGTTATTAACCAGGAACCGAATTTTGTAGTCACTACACAGAATTGTATGATGCTGAAGGCAACAATCCAGAGGCCCTGTCATGAAATAAGGATTGCAGAATTAGCTGTGTCACATCCAGTGCAGAAGTTATGCTGGGCATACCCTTGTCAGACACACTTTTGGCACTGGTGTAAATATGGCCTACCTGGACTTTGCTCCTCCAAAGAAATGGGGAACTTATCCAATCAGTGTTCCTATTTGCATAGAAGAGCCTCACACATCTACTTGTATACATGTGCAGGGCCCTGACACCAAATGTGTGATGGCAATGGATACAGGTCATGCATGGATATGGACGGGCATAGCCAAAAGACAGAAACCTCACATACTGAAAGAGTATAAGACCTAATATACCCCATGCCATGCAACTAACTTAAGAATCAAAATATTGGTTTATTCGCTCAGATCCTGCTATCAGAACATGCTCTCTGTGAAAATTTGCTTATCGGAACACAATGAATTAGTACCCAAATCTCGCTACAGAAACTGCTGATTGGATAAATGATGCATTTTAAATTTTCCCATAGGAAATAATGGAAATTGTCCTATCATTATGGGAAAGCCCGCCAAATGAATGATTTCTCCGGAATGCATTGAGTTCAGATAGCTGGACCTGCCTTGTGTGTTGTGCAAAACAAACAAAAGGAAAGGGGAAAAGTAGCTGAATTCTGACCCAAAAGTGTATCAGATAGACTATATGCTTTTCTTGCTTGGACAGACTAATGCTGCCTCCCCTGAACTGCAGCGATTTCCCCCTCTCCTGTCAGTCACCCCACACTTTATCCCATACTGTTCAGGAAATCTGACCCCTCCCCCGCAGGGTGTTTCTAACAACATGCATTGCTCTATGCCAGCCATGAGAAGAAGGTGGCACCAACGCCACCATAAAGGCCTGGCTCGGGTGCGGATTGCCTTGCCTCCCTGTGGCTCTAGCCTCAATGAGTGTCCACAGAATCAGATGACCTTTGCCTGAATTTAATATTCCCATCCTTATTGGTGAGCAAGCAAATTTCCGAATGTCTTTTTTAATAAAGGGGTTTTTTTTATTCCTACACATGTTTCAGGCATTAAGATATGCACCTTTATGGACCTGAAGGAAGCCTCTGAATAAGTGCAGAGGCACTGTTGGTTAAACCACAGAGCCTAGGGCTTGCTGATCAGAAGGTCGGCGGTTCGAATCCCCACGACAGGGTGAACTCCCCTTGCTCTATTTCCGTGTGCTGCTCTGTTTCGCCAGAAGCGGCTTAGTCATGTTGGCCACATGACCCAGAAGCTGTACGCCGGCTCCCTCGGCCAATAAAGTGAGATGAACGCTGCAACCCCAGAGTCGTCCACGACTGGACCTAATGGTCAGGGGTCCCTTTACCTTTCTTTACCTTTCTAGGATAGTATGATGTGTCACTGTTTATTAAAGCCTGAACGGAATAAACATGTGCAGACATTCTTAATATTAGTGTATTTTTCATATCTGATTCTATCTAAACAAATTTTATCTGGGGAAGAAAAATAAAAGAAGAGAAGGTGGGATAAAAAAATACACAGGGGAAATCTGCTGAAGGGGAATAAAATAGTGTAGAAACTTTAGGCATTTCCCCAGTTTGACTAGGGAACATATTGCCTTGAGATGTGGTGTGCTCTCCTTCACTGAAGATATTTAATTCCACTTCCCCCACATGCACTTTGCGTAATCATCTACTCCCTTTTGTTAATTTGACTTTATGCTACTCCTTAAAGGTCCCAGTTGCCTTTCAGGTTAAGGACAACCAAAAGTTGAGACATGTGGATTTCATGAAAGATATCTACTTTCTTCTCCAAGTCAGACTTACAAACTTTCCCAGAACCCTCTTCTACCGCTTCTTTAAACTACACTCTATACACCCCACAATCCAATTAAGAGTACATAATTTTTATTCATAGAGATTACCGTATTTTTTACTCTATAGGATGCACTTTTTCCCCTCCAAAAATGAAGGGGAAATCTGTGTGCATCCTATGGGGCGAATTCAGGCTTTCGCTGAAGCTTGGAGAGCAAGAGGGGTCGGTGCGCACCGACCCCTCTCGCTCTCCAGGCTTCAGGAAGCTATCAGCAAGCCTGGGGAGCCCGTGGGAATTCCCCCAGGGCTTCCTAGGCTGCGGATAGCAGCCTGCTGCCCGGAGCGCGGGGCGCGCTGAAGCAGAATGCCCCGCGCTTCGGGCAGATATCCGCAGCCTGCTTCCCGGAGCGCGGGGCGCGCTGAAGCAGAGCACCCCACGCTTCGGAAAGATATCCGCAGCCTAGGGAGCCCTGCGGGAGTTCCCGCAGGGCTCCCTAGGCTGCGGATAGCGGCCTGCTGCCCGGAGCACGGGGCGCGCTGAAGCAGAGCGCCCCCCGCTTTGGGCAGATATCCTTTTCTCCTCTAAAAACTACGGTAGGTGCATTTTTAAAAGCTCGGGCTTCCCCGAATAAATTTTTTCCCTTTATTCCCCCCCCCAAAAAAAACCCTAGGTGTGTCCTATGGGACGGTGCGTCCTATAGGGTGAAAAATACGGTAATACATGTAACCAACTAGATGTGAGCATATGAGCACACTCTAATGCTTATACCCAAAACTGTTCAAGATGGGGTTAGAAATGTCCACCATTCACCAATACACTGTTGTGGCAAAATTGTGTTCTCTAGGGACTGGAGTTACATTATGGTGTTTAATATTAAGTCAAACTATTGGACTGCCTAGTCCAACACATTCCATCCTGGATTGGACTCAAGATACAACTCTTGTTGCTGTCACTCAATATCCTCTGAGGTCGGCCACCAGCAATAATAAATGCCAGATATTTCCTCTGTAGAACAGTAATCCTTTTTAAAAAAAATATATAGTTTTTATTGGGGGATTTTGTGTTACAAAACAAACAGATAAACAGGCAATAATATTCTTAAGGTGATGACCCTGCCTGCACATGACAAAAAGTGATATGTTCTGATTTCTACCCCACCCCTCACTAATGGTGCCAAACGGACCGCCTCTCTGTGCCCACGAGAACTTACGGTCTTTCCAAATAAAAACATCTTGGAAGGTCCAGGCCAACAAGAAGTTAGGCTGGCCTCAACGAGAGCCAGGGCCTTATTCGTGGGCTCCGATCTGAGTGGACCTCTGTCCACAAGAGACCAGGGCCTGCGGGCCTGACATCTTTCCCGCAGGGGCCTGCAAAGCAGAGCTGTTCACCAGCCCTTTGGCAATTCACAGCCTGCTCCTCCTTCGGCAACTCTTCGCGAGCATCTGCCCAATGGTTGCCAGTGGCTGAAATAATAATTTTAGAATCGAACTGATTTTAGAGTGTTGTTTATGCTGTATTTGTACTGTTTATTGTGTTAGCCGCCCTGACCGGTTAAGCTGGGAGGCCGGGATATAAATAAATTTCTTATTTTATTATTATTATTATTATATTAATTATTATTTATTATTATTATTATTAAACACCTTTCAGTTGGCCTAATTTTGTAGTCAGTTTTAGTTTCTGGACTTTTAAAGGGTAGCATGCACAGTGGAATGATCTTAGTCCAGCTGGATGAATTTTTTCTATGTAAGGGTGTAAATTTGGGTGATAATTATGACACACTGTTGTTGTTGTTTAGTCGTTTAGTTGTGACCCCATAGACGAGAGCACGCCAGCACTCCTACCTTCCACTGCCTCCGCAGTTTGGTCAAACTCATGTTCGTAGCTTCGAGAACACTGTCCAACCATCTCATCCTCTGTTGTTCCCTTCTCCTTGTGCCCTCAATATTTCCCAACATCAGGGTCTTTTCCAGGGAGTCTTCTCATGTGGTGGCCAAAGTATTGGAGCGTCAACTTCAGGATCTGTCCTTCCAGTGAGCACTCAGGGCTGATTTCCTTAAGAATGGATAGGTTTGATCTTCTTGCAGACCATGGGACTCTCAAGAGTTTCCTCCAGCACCAGAATTCAAAAACATCAATTCTTCAGCGATCAACCTTCTTTATGGTCCAGCTCTCACTTCCATACATCACTACCGGGAAAACCAAGCTTTAACTATACAGACCTTTGTCAGCAAGGTGATGTCTCTGCTTTTTAAGATGTTGTCTAGGTTTGTCATTGCTTTTCTCCCAAGAAGCAGGCGTCTTTTAATTTTGTGACTGCTGTCAGCAACTGCAATTATCATGGAGCCCAGGAAAGTAAAATCTCTCACTGCCTCCATTTCTTCCCCTTCTATTTGCCAGGAGGTGATGGGACCAGTGGCCATGATCTTCGTTTTTTTGATGTTGAGCTTCAGACCATCTTTTGCACTCTCCTCTTTCACCCTCATTAAAAGGTTCTTTAATTCCTCCTCACTTTTCCCTAGTGAACACACTAGAGAAAAAATCTCTCTAATTATTTCAGTGCTATCACATGAACTGATTTTTTAAAATGCAATGTTTTTTTCTCTTGTATGCAGAGGGGCACCCATGAAGGACTCTACAAATTCCTGTGTTTATACCAGTGCCTCTCATGCAGTCAGTTTCTAGGAATAGAATAGTGTGATTTCCCTAAGCTATTTTGTGAAATTTTTTTTTCTAAAGAAATTGTTCTTTGTGTTTACTTCTGGCCTTAGAAAAATAATAAACATTTTGGGGGCAAAAATGCAACCAAGTAACCCAGCACTGGACACCAAAATAGAGAAGATCTCCACAGCCACCATGTATTTCCCCTTGGTGCTCAGATAGGTTGGAATGAAGGATATCCAAACACTACAAAACACCAGCATGCTAAAAGTAATAAACTTGGCTTCATTGAAACTGTCAGGCAGCTTTCTGGCTAGGAAGGCCACTATGAAGCTGATACTGGCCTGAAGGCCCATGTAGCCCAGGACCATGTAAAACATAGCATCTGAGCCTTCATTACATTGCACTACAATCAGCCCAGACTGTGAGACCATATCAAGATCTGGGAAAGGGGGAGATGTGAATAGCCAGATGGCACAGATGACAACTTGAATAAGAGAGCAAAAAAGGATAATGTAGTTGGATAGTCTCTTGCCCATCCATTTCCTCATCTTGCTTCCAGGACTTCTGGCCATAAATGCTACAACCACAGTGGTTGTTTTGGCCAATACACAAGAAAGTGCAAGTGAAAAGATGTTCCCAAAAGCAGCTTGTCGGAAAAGGCAGGTTGTTATTCTGGGTCGTCCAATGAACAGCAAGGAGCAAATGAAACAAAGCAAAAGGGAGATTAGCAGAAGGTAGGTAAGGCTCCGGTTGTTGGCTTTGACAACTGGTGTCTTCTGGTGTTTAATGAAGGTTGTAAGCACCAGGACTGTGAGGAGAGCAAAATTAAGTCCAGTGGAAGCCAACCCTTTCCCTAAAGGTTCATCATAGGCTAGAAAAGTTGTAACCTTAGGGATACATCTGTTTTGTTTCTTGTTTGGATGTTCAGCTTCTTGGCATGTTTCACACTGATATGCATCTGTAAAAAACACACATAAATTTCCTGTATGGCAGAGCTTTTCAGCATGCAGCCCACATCATGCAACACAGCACATCACTCAATAATCTACAAAAGCTAGATAATCCCTATTCTGATGTCCGATATTGTTTTGGGAAGTGGGGAAAATTTGCAGCTGGCACTGAAGCCCCCACTGCTATGTGGTTTGCTGATGTGCAAACAGATATAGTGTGTACAGCACACCAACACACTGAAAGGAGCATTATTTAAGCCCATCCAGCCTCCTTTTCCTTGTTTGGCACCCTCCCACCCTTTTCTGCATTGTGGTTGCTGTAGTTACTTTGGGGCTGAGTAGGAATTTTTGGCTGGCTTGTCTAGATTTGTGAGAAAGCCCCCCCCCCTTTCCATACTGTAGGATTGGAATAGGAGATTGTTAGGTGAGCTGCCTTAATACTTGGCTAGTCATGCTGATTGGTTGATTTGACGATATTGTTCAATTGGCTGATATTTAATTTGGCATTTCAGTTTCATGTGTTTAAATAGGTGAATCTGGTCACTTTGGCAGAAACGTGGGAAAAGGAACTTCATAGGGCAGGTTGATGACACACTTAGACATAGGTGCAAAATCTTAGGGGCCAAGGGGGCTTCTGCCCTCTCCCCCATAAAATATTTGAGGGGCAAGTTGATGGGCATCACCATTCAAATTGTATGCGTGCACCGTGTCATATGATTGATTATGTGGGGCAGGGCTTACCTGCCCCCCCAATATTTTATTCAAGTTGGCACCCCTTCACTTAGGCTACCTTGTGGATGGGTGGTCCCTCTCAAAGCTGTACCTGAAGGATGCACAGCCTGGGAGCAGGATAGGGACTGTCGTTGATGCTAAATTTCCTCATTCAGACAGTTGTAAGGCTTGAAGGGTGGTGATGATATAAGATTTCCTCTACTCACATTCAGTGTGTGGCTCAGGTAAGCGGTCAGTGGATAGGCTTGCATGGTTTTGTCACCTTTACAGCCATGGGATTTCTTAGTCTGAGCCAGTTCCCTCTCCTATAGTTTTTTCTGTAGGATTTGTATGTAACGTTTAATAAATAAATCCTTTTTCATCCTAGCTGTATGTGCCTATTTATTTCAGCCTTAGGCCAAAAATATTTTATCATTGTGTTCTGACTGATCTGAAAATACCATATAGAGGTTAAGCATCTAGTAATATACAGCTCATGTCTGGTTGGTTTTGTGTGGTAGAATGCTAACTTTTTAACCCCACCACCACATGCACACACATTGTCAACATAACATTATGCATTATCTTATCCAATGCGGCCAATTGATCTGAATGAAAAATCCAGGCATATAATATAGGCTGTCTATTAAAAACAATTAATATTTGAAATATATAGTTTGGATAGTGCCTCTGAAATTACCTACCTGTCTGGTGTGAAATGGTCCCCTCTGGGCACTGAGAACAATAATAGCAGCAAGATGGTTCACTCTCATGAACTTTTTTGTAGTATCCAGGGGGGCATCTTTCAGTGCACATAGAAGGAGGCAATGCCTAACCATAAAAAGAAGAAAATACAGTTCGGTGAATTTCAGGTTATAAATTCATTTCTCTGTATTTTAGCCTGAAGTTGTATATTTAACCTCTGTTTTAAAAAGACAAAGACAAAGTGATCACACTCCAGTGTTTAAAATAAAATAACTAGGTATAAAACTTGGGCAGAAAACCTTGTCCCACTCACATGCAATGTCAAAGTACTATGCGTAATCTAACTGGTCCACCATTGAGATATTTATGTATCATTTTAAAGTGAAGTTATCAGGTTGATTCAGTTGATCCAAATAACAGAGGCAGTTTAGGTTTCTTTATTTTTTCTACATAGGTCAATTTGGTATGTGCCAAAATCAAGTTCTTCGTCACTAAAGCTTTTAGTTATTAGAGGTAAGCGAATAAGCTCTTTCATGGCAAATTGAGAGGATTTAAAAAAAACCAAAAAACCCAAACAAACCCAAACCCCCCAAAACCCTCATGTCTTGAGAAACAATGGAACTCATTCATTTCATTTTCTAGATTGAATCCCACAGATTTTGGGAAACTATGAAAAATGGCAAATTATTAAAATCTTAATTACCCACCTGGTTGAAGATGTTGGGCCATATAATGGCATCTTTCTTAATGGTAATTTTTTCATTAGAAGACTGGAAATCTACCATTCCAACTCTTACTCGGATGAAAGATTTATTTGGAAAAGTAACCAAGTTAACAATATCATATGATCCAGTAGACAATCCCATGTTTTCATTAAAGAATACCTCCTCCCCAGCACTGTTGTTGAAATGAATTTTTCTCAAAAATGCCTGGAGCTAGATGGGAAAACCAAATCTCAAGATTTATAAATATCATCTCTCATTCTAAGAGTAGCTACTGAGCATCATTTGGGAACTTGCAATCTTTCACAGAAAGTCTGTGAAACTTCACTATGGTTACTTATTTACTAAATGACTTCAGCGAAGGTGTTTGAAGTCCATCAAAGATTCAGTATTTCTGACCTTCACTAGCAACATGTGTAACACTAGTCCACCCATTGCAAAAGTACTGAGACTAAATATCTCATATTACCTCCCATGGCAGCAGTGCCCAATGATCCAATCCAGCAGGTTTCCCCCTCACTCTTTGCCCTTGTGCAAGAAAAGCATGTAAAGCATGTGCCAAAGCATGGACTGCATTGTAGATACTATAGCTCTGATCAGACATGCTCATTTCAAGCACAGTCCCAGGAAGACTATTTAACTTTTCCTTGCCTGTACAGTGCTTTTTATTTAGAGTTCTGCACTGAAATGCAGCTTCCCAAAACATTTTCATAAATAAACTATTTTGGTGCCGGTGAGGGTCATACATCTGGAGAAAACTCTGAAATCCTGGTACATGGTTTTTGTGGATTGTCATGAACAAGGAGCCATGGAAGTATTTCAGGTTCCAGTTATTCCAAATAACACTTGAGGTGAAATCACACTGGACTGTGGTAATCCAAACCTTCTCTTTGGGATTCCTTCCCAAGTAATACTCAGTATACAGCATCATCTGTAAACCTTGCATTGAGTAAGTGTCTCCATCTGCAACAATCACATTGGCTTTGGTCCTATGAAGTGTTGCCAGGATATTTCCCTTAGAAAATATATTCCATGCACTAGAGGATTGGAGAAAGACTAATGGTGCCTTCTCTGCAAAGGCAACACAGATGCCATTCTCATTGAGCATACATTTCATACTTTGCACAAACCGTTCACCACTGTCATCATCTGAAACAATAAGGCCAATCCATGTCCATCCCAAATATTTTATCAAGTGCACTATCCCTTCATTCTGGGTATTGTCGTTTGGGACCATTTGGTAGGTAAAAGGGAAATAGGTTTTATCGCTCAGTCCTGGGTGAAATGAGCCATAACTGAGCTGAAAAGAGAGGGAAATGCAGTATTTTAAGCTGTGAAAGTTGTTGTTGTTATTTTACAAAGTTGATCCCATAAAACATTTACTGAGAATTTTTCTGACGGTATCTATGATGAATGTTCTGCAGTATATCACGGATGTTCTATGAAAAACTGGACATAGTGAATAGAAGATGGGTTTGATATGTAACATATATATTTTATATACATATTCACAACTTAAATATTCAGTAAAACAACCTTATTAAAACAACACTTTACCTAAAACAGACAGGTAGAGTAATCAAGAGAATTTCTGTGTAAACACATATGTCTTCAAAAGTCAGTGGAATGCCAATATAGATGGGGCCTATTGGTATTTCAGCAGCGTGTCATAAACAAACAAACAAACAAAAATGAGAATATCATGCCTCTTAAAAAAGGCAGGTTGAAACAAAAAGAGTGGGTACTCTCTACTTTTCCAAAAAAGAAAAAAGAAACATACTGCTCAAGGATGGCTGGCAACAACTCATTTGTCATATAAAAAGCATATTCTTGTTTGAAGTATATGATATACAGTAGTTGGGCATACAACTACAGTGCAGTGCACATACAATTTGCTCTTCATATGGTGCAGTTTCTGTGAGCTGCTCATGCACCAAATAAAGGCAGTACATTTCTGCTGGTGGAAATACATGTCTCAACCTAGGCTGAAAGAAAATCAGACTGCCCAAAGAACATAGAAATCCATATACAAATAGATGAGTTTTCAAAAGGGGAGTCACAGCAGGATGCACAAATCAGATTTCTGATCACTCATCTATATAAACCCATATCTCTGGTGCTTTTTTGTACTTAAACATCAGAAATTTCAACGTGTCAAACATGAGAAACAGTGAAATTTCATCTCTTGCACAGTTATCTGTAAACTTTCTCTCCACACAACCCTACCTGTGGAATCTGGTAGAGGCTTAAGAGAGTGGCTATTTGCATAGAAGCTTCGGAGCCAAGTGCTCCAATGACTGCCAACATCTTTTGCATTCTGCACCTGGTATTAGGGAAGCTGTTTTTCTTTGCTGACAGCAAGGACAGTGTGATATCATAGTTTAATCTTGCTTGGAACATATTATCATAGATCTGGAATCCCAGAGTAGAATTGGGTAGAAGGTTTGAATCTTTGTTGATCTCATCAATAGCAAAATTGAAGGCAAAGACATGCTGATAATTCTTTTTCATCAACCTACAAAGACAGTAATATATATTTTTTATTTGCACAGCACTTCTTTCTCTCACCTACTCGCTGGTTGCAAAGAGACCCAATTGATAATGTATTTCACAGCTGATAACCACCATGGCTCAGAAAGAGAAGACAAAGGTTTTCTCTTATGCTTTTTCAAAATACCCGCACACAGCTACGTGGTTATAAAACCGCACGGTTTGAGTGGATATCCAGAAATCTGGTCATGCATTGGTCATTGAACAGATATTAAACACTGTAGTTATTTTACATGCATATGACTATAGTCTTCTCCATTGAAAAGCACTGACAGCAATATAACAGAGAGCAGCCATTTCAGACCTGAAACACACTTGCATTTTGTATTTGGGATTCATTTTGCAATCTGTGTACATAGCTGAGCTACAGAAATCAATAAGTGTACACATGTGTAGTGAGAGTGTGTGCACCTGTATTTTGTGTAATTTGTGAACACATATTAAGTTATTTAAGACTGACCTTCATTACAAGAAAGGTATACACTTTGGGAACAGAGACATAGATATTGGGGTCATGTCCAACTTTACGATTCTAGGATTAATCCACGTTGGGAGCCTGAGTCAATTCCCCGTGGTTGATATAGAAGCTCCACACTCTGCCAGCTCCTCCAACTAAGGGCTCAAGGCTGGTGCCATGACCTACTGGCCTCGCTGGGCATGTGCCATAGTCCAGCACCCCTCAACCAGCATATTAGGAGTGCTGAATTATTTCAGCAGTAGAATTTGGGGTTTTAATACATGTTTATTTATTCACTTTCCTCCCTTTCCTCCAGGGAGCTCTTGGTGACATCAGTGATTTTCTGCTGCATATTATAAGTTCCAAATTACCCTGGGTTAGGCTGAGAGAGGTACTGATTGGCCCAAGGTCACCCAGCGAGCTTCATAGCTGAGTGGAGTTTTGATCCTGGGTCTCTTCCCAGTCCTAGTGCATCACTCTAACCACTACATCACACTGGCAAAGTTATTTACCGCATAGACACAAATAAGCCTGAGTCTTAGCTGTGGTTTCTGCATTGCAGGACTTGGACTGGATGTTCCTTTGGGTCCCTTCCAACTCTACAGTTCTATGATTCTATGATTCCTAGGATCTCTCGTGCAAACTTATAATATCTATTACAAATCTATTTTACACCAAACATTTTGGGGATATTTACTACATGCTATTTTCTGTCCATTGGTGCCGCAGCCTACAAATTCCCAAGCAACAGCCCAATCCACACAAGCTTTTACTACAGAAACATGCGCCTAAGCGCTTACACTTAGGACTTGCTTATGGGGCATTTAACCCACTACAAAGGGTTTCTTTCATTGCTTCAGTGTTCTCCCAAGCAATCAAAATCAATCTTCTCTCAATCAAAAACCTACTACACATTCAATGTGCTATTGCAAGGCTTTCAGATGTAGGCTGGTGAATGATTGTTCTGTTGTCAAACTGTGAGCTGGGTAAAACAACCTCTCGCTCGGCAGTGGATGAAGTGGTCTTCATATGCCTACACTCCCCCGTGCTCTAAAGGTTGTATAAATTGGCCTTAAATGCTCAGAATCTGGGTTTGCCTTTATACAATCACTAATTTGGGTTGAGATTCATTCACAAACTACCACATTCGGGTTGCACAATTAGTGCATCTGCACAATAAGCCCGCTTCCCACCAAAATTGGACTTTCTGTGATAAAGGAAGCTGGAAAGTGTGGTATAACAATTGCTTGAAAGGTGATGGAATAATGTAGTGGAAAGTGTGAGATAAGGTAAAGGTAAGATAAAGACAAAGGTGAGATAAAGATTGCTTGCTGAAACATCATATCATCTCCCTTCCCCAAAATAAAAAGAGAACGACTACTCAATGAAGAGTTGACACCATCTAATCTCAGTGCAAGCTTTGTGCAAACAAATCAGGAGGAATGTTCAATAAGAAGGAAAACTGGAACTACTTAGATACTGTCATTTGTTTAAACATATGCACACTTAACTGGAACACACGTTTGCTGAAGCTCTCGGGTAGCATCTTAAAGGAGTCATCAGGATATACACCCATGCGCAGAGACAAAACTGCACCAATAACATGGTCCCCTGGCTTTAAAAAATCATCTTCATATCTGTGAGCTGTTGCTTTGCATTTTTCCTTCAAATTATTATTGGTGGCCTGGGGCAGGAGCTGTAGCAACAGCAGCAGCACGAGTAGCATCTTATGTCATTGCAGCCCATAAGCCTTATTCATTCTCACTGACTGTAGTAGCTTACAAGACATAGCATGAATATGGACAGGATGCAATGTTATAGATAACCTTGTTCCATGCTGGCTCTTTTGAGATATTATTCATGTCAGTCATGACAAAGACCTGCTATATCCTTGCTCAATACAGTTTTCAATAAACTTTAGAGCATTTATAGTAGATCTCACCACTGATGCAAGGTTTTGCAAGGTTCTTCAATTGATTTAATTTGTTTTCCTATTGGTGTTGCCAGTTAGTTCTTAAATTCTCTGGAGCTTTTACAGTGAAAAGACTCAGGCACTGTATTTTCAATAATTATAGGGAAGATAGTGGTATCTCTAGTCTTTCTCACACAAACACACTTTCTCTCATTGTTCCAGTAGAATGGCAGGAAAACACTTATATGCAGAAAGAAGGGATGAATAAAAAACCGGGGTGGGGGTGGGTAGAAGAATTCATTTCCTGTAAGAAAATAGATTTATTTCCCACATTCTGTCAAAAGGTCATAGGACAGTTTACAACACAGTAACAAAATAAAGAAGCATAGCATGCAAACATAAAACAATAATCATAAAATACATAATAAGCATATTAATGCTGCATATTGCATAAGATTTAGAATCACCAAATCTAACAAGGAATTTGAGACATTTTAAAATTCATTTCAACATAATTTATTTTGTCTATTCATCAATTCACTTATAAACTTTTACCAAAACCCTTTTCTTCCATAGTTTTATTAGGGCTCCCTGCATTTCCTTGTTTCTTAGGCTGTAAATAATTGGATTTAACAGTGGTGTTACAACAGTATAGGAAAATGATAAAAGCTTGTCCAGTGGTGGAGAGTAGCTGGATTTGGGTTTTAAGTACATGGAACTAGATGTACCATAGAAGAGAATAACAACTATTAAATGTGAGGAGCACGTGGAGAAGGCTTTATATCTCCTCTCCAAGACTGGCATCCCCATGATGGTAAAGATAATGCCCATGTAAGACAGGATGATCAGCACGAATGGTAGCATGATAGCCATCAGAGCAATTCCAATTACTTGGACTTCATTTAGGAAGGTGTCTCCACAGACTAGTTCTAACAGTGGCTGTATTTCACAGAAGAAGTGGTTGATGATCACACCACAAAATTGCAGGCGAAATGTGACCGTAGTGTGGACCAGCCCAACTGCAGTCCCACAAATGTATGAGCCAGTCACCATTATCCAGCAAACATTTCTCCTCATGATAATTGTGTAATGCAAAGGGTGGCATATTGCAACGTAGCGGTCAAATGCCATGGCAGCTAGAAGAAAACACTCAGCAACCCCAAAAAACAGGAAGAAGAACATTTGCATGGCACATCCCATAAAGGAAATAAATGTAGCATTCACCAACAAATTCTCTAATAATTTGGGGATTATGACTGACATATAGCATCCCTCCAAGCTGGCCAAGTGCATAAGGAAAAAATACATTGGAGTGTTAAGCATAGGGTCAGATTTTACAAGCAGAATTATCAAGCTATTGATCATTAAGGTGATTATATAGAGGGAGAGCAGCACTACAAATATTAACACATGGAACTTGTGAGTCTCTGAAAAACCCACCAGTATGAATGCAGACAAAGTTGTGGCATTTTCTTGACGACTCATGGCCTCACTGAGATATTTAGCTTCTTCAGTACTGCTGTTTGTATCTACATCTAGCAGTCTACTATTTCACCACCAACCTATTCATTGAGTAATTCATCCATAATCATGTCTCCTGCTTGTTTTCTTTTAAACTAATGTCTGACTAGTAGCCTAATCACTTTTGATCATCTTTGTTTTCTGCATGTTCAGTGCTCCTGGTGAAGATGTGAAACATAATAATTTTCTTGCTTTTATTTCATGGCATCAGCTTCTTATAAGTAAGATTACTTCCTCTGCCACTCTTTGCTCTGTAAGACAACCAAAAATAACATGTTGGGTTTTGGTTTTGCTTTTAAAAAAGAGAGAAGTTCATCTTATGTGTGTGAATATGTAAAGTCACATGGAAAACTAGAACAAATCTCTTACATCAGGGATGGAAAACTTATGGTCCTTCAGGTGTTCTTAGACTACAGTTCTTATTATCCCAGACCATTGGATATGTTGGTTGTAACTGATGGACTCCAACCTCCAATTGGAGGCCATAGATTTCCATCTCTGTCTTGGAGCTTGATTGCATAGACCTTGGGAAGTGGACAGTGAATGTTAAGTACCTGGCATGCCACAACCCTAGGCTAATAGGCTGATTTGGCTTGTACGCCAAAGTCCAATGACACATGTGGGTAACCTAATGTGATGTGGGGAAACATGACATTTCAGTTTGCAGTGTTTTATCTGCGGTGACTGATACCCTTATCTAAGTTATTACCTTACTACAGTCAATGAATATGCATGTGTGTGAACCAGACTATAGTTCTAGTCGTGGAGCTGTACAGCATTTCAGAATATTTGCCTGTCTAGCACAGTATTGTCTGCTTTGACTGCAGCAGCTCCCCAGGCTCTTAGGCAAAGAGAGAGGGGGAGAGGTCCTTCATCTGCTACCTATGCCTTTTAACTGGAGATTGCAGAGCTTGAATTCTGAGCCTTCTGCTACTGACTATGGTCTGCAAAGTTTCACTGCTGTAGGCAAAACACCCTACCATTGAAATCACCCTATTAAGGGAATTTGCATGAAAATGTGTGTATAACTGGAAAAATTACATACAAAATGTGTATTTTTTGGGGGGGGGTGCATTAAAATCTTACTGAATTTTCACAAGGACTTAAACAAAAAAAATCAGAAACTGATGCAGAAATGTGAAGTTGAAACTATAAAAATGAGAGAACCCCAAAATGGACAGATTTGTCCATTCCTAGGTGCAACTAAAGTGGGTGTGGCTACCCATAAATGCTCCCTTTTATTTACAGGACACACACATAGGCAGGCAGAAACACAAAGGCACACAGTCCTCTCTCCTCTGCTAATAAATGGAGGTTAGCTGTAGAATGGGGATTATCATTCTCCCATCAAATAGTCAACCAGATGACCAGGGAGAGGGTGATTTACATCAGGGTGCTAGTGCAGTCTCAGCTCACTTCTTCTTCTCTTTCTTTCCGAGTATTGGGGGGTAGAGAGAGAAAAATTGGTTTGGAGGGAAGGATAACCATACCTGTTTTACTTGGTAGTGATCTTGAAGCTAAGCAATTGAATTTCCTTTGAAGTCAAAATAACCAGATTTGACCTCAGTTAATTTTTGTTATGAAGTATCGTAGCAGAATTGGTGAGAGATTATCATGGATATATTATTGGGTTCAAATTTGGAATTAGGATTGTGTGTTCAAAATCAGATTATAGGGAATATCACTGCTTCACACGGAACAGTTTCCACCAGTTCTGGTACCCACCATGAAGTTATTACAATAAGTGACACATCTTTAACCAGTGCTTTTCTTCTAGAAGAAGAAAAAGTGCTGGTACAGTGTATCCTTGAGAACCTCTGAAAAAAGGCACTGGTTTCCACCATGAATTGGGGGAAATAAATGGTGAAGGTCAAGCCAGGTGAAACAGGGGAACCATTGCATATCATCAGAGAAGTGACAACACTTCTCTTTGGAGATTTGGTTTGCTGATCTGGGCTACTGAGTGCCCTATAGGCATAGGACAGGGATATTCATATGATGCATACATATATTACAGGTTGTGTTTCAGCTCTCCAATAAAACTGTAAAGATAAGTGCTGTTTTAGCTCAGTGCTAGCTATTTC